AGCACCCATGTTTATTAAAGTGCTCTCTGTTGTTAGCCATGAGTCACCGTGATTGGTGGAACCAAGAATTTGCTAGCCCTGAAGAGCCTTCAGCACTTGCTTCATTTCCTATCTGTACAGGCACACAACCCATTTCTATGCACGTTACATTGTTTTACACATACTCTCTAGTTCAACATCTAGAACAACGCATACTCTCTAGCACAATCATCTGTTACTTAGCCTATCCTGCTCTGATTCCATCAGCAGGTGGCCTTTCTGCAGATGAACAAGGAAGTCAAACAAGAAACCTTTTGTTGAGTAGTAGCTGGAACAACATGAGAACTGGGTTAATAAATGTATATCCTTGTTACTCATACTCTGAATTACCTACTATAATGATTGCTTGAGTATGTTCCAGCATTTTGTGTGTTTGTTTTAAATGACTCTTATTTTAAGTAATTTATATGCCTATAATAGGTTTTTAAAATTATATTTAATTATATTTTATGAACTGTTGTAAGCCACCCATCCCTAATCCCACCTTGGTGTGGAAGGCGGGGGTATAAATTAAATAAATAAATAAACAAATAAAAGTCAGGGGCTCCAGATAGCAGGTATGCCAAGTCCAGTCTAGGATCAAGAGTTCCAGAAATGTTGATAGGTCCAGTCCAAGGGTCAAGATTCTAGTAGTCCACTAACAGCAAGGTCAGTGGTTTAGTAGCAATGTGTACTCATTGCATCCACAAAACTGCTGCTTCTCCCAGCTGATTTTATAGCCAAGTCTTAACAAGCTACACACCCAGCCAGTTCCATGGCGGTCATCCTGAAACTACTCACCCACCTTGTCAGTTGACAGCTGGCAACAGGCCATGAGTCTCGCACTCTTCCTCCTTTCCTGCAACTCCGTGTGCTTCTGACAGTGTCAGTGTTGCAGGGATGTGGGTGAGCTAGGTGGGCTCGGAGTGGCTTCTGAAGACTTGTTTACTGCTTCAGAGCTACAAGGCAATGGCTTGGTTTCAGCTGTAGGCTGTGACTTCTGGTCAGCTGGTAACCTGATCTCTTGTTGCCTGCCTCCTGGCTCAGAGGCAGCTGCAACCGGTTTTTAAATTACTGGCTGACGGCTGGCTTGCAGACAGCTCTTTGTCTGAGGAATTTGTGCCGTCACTGAGCACAGACTGACTTATGACACTATCCTTCACTCCTTTCTCAACCGTCATTCTTAACTGACACTCTGACCTGTAGAATTCCTTTGGAATCCTGTCTCTCAAGGTTCTCCCACCGAAGTAAAGTATTAACCCTTCACAGCCCTGGGAACAAACTTCTGAAATAAAGGTATAGAGGCAAAGTATGAGTATTAATGCAGGTAAAACACCAGGATCAGACTGGCCATTTAACTTAAAGGGATATTTCTCTGTTGGCCACTGCTGTGGAGGGCCACTGGGGACCAGGAACAAGCAACTCTGCTAGAACTTCAGAGGCACTTGGCTTAGACCTTTAATCTGCAATGGTAATTGGTGCCCTGCTCAGCTGCCAGGAGGAAACAGTTGGTGAGCTAATAGCCAGTCTTTGCATTGCTGAGCTGATTGACCCTTAAACCATTGGTTTGTAGTGCCAAAGGAGCCACTCTGGCCTGCCCCAGGGTTATTTTTCACTTCCAGTATACTCTTGCAAAATACTAGTCCTCAGACTATGGAACAGTGATGGCGGATGCTCTTCACAAGACAGGTAAGGGCGGTTCGCATGCCAGCGGCCTGGAGGGGTGCCACCTCAAGTGACACCCCCAAGGAGCCTTTGTGATAGGCTCCAGGCCAGGGGGCTTTTTTTTTTTAGAATTTATTTATGTTTTTTCCAACAAACAAACAAACAAAAAATAAAAATCCGAATACATTCTTATTGTACAAGTCAGTTTCGGAGTGTTCATTATACATTTTTTTCAAACCATTTATACACTTTAAACCATCTTTTCTTATAAACGTTATCGTCTCTTTCTGCTAATATCATATTTAATCTGTCCATTTCTGCTATTTCAAATATTTTTTCCATTATTTCTTCTTTTTTAGGTAGTAAATCTGATTTCCATTTTTTCGCTATTAGAATTCTGCTTAACGTGAGGGTATATAACACAATACATTTATCATTCCTTGTTTATTATATCAGGCAAAATATTAAGCAAGTAACTTTCCGGGTTAAGCTGCAGATCTATTCCTACAATTTCTTTTATCAGATATTTTACCATTTTCCAAAATTTTACTATTTTGTCGCACCTCCACCATATATGATAGTATGTTCCTACGTTATTATTACATCTCCAACATATATCCGAGACATTTTTATAACATTTCGCTATTTTATCCGGTGACCAGTGCCACCTGTAAAACATTTTTAGAATATTCTCTTTATAAGGTGTGGCTCTTACTATTTTTTTCGTTTCCCACATTTTTTCCCATTCTTGCATATTTATTATGTGGCCTATATTTTGTTCCCAGGTTTTCATGCAGGGTTTTATTGCTATATCTTCCATGCTTTCCTTCTGAAGAAGTTTGTATAGCTTTTGTATTTGTTTGTCTGCCGAGGACAACCAAATCTTATCTAGTTCTAACATTGAGTCATTGAATTTTATTTTTTTGTCCTTAGCAAATCTTGATTGTAATATTGTTCTTTCCCAACTTGTCAGGTTTATATTCATTATATTATGGAGATGTAATAACGTAGGAACATACTATCATATATGGTGGAGGTGCGACAAAATAGTAAAATTTTGGAAAATGGTAAAATATCTGATAAAAGAAATTGTAGGAATAGATCTGCAGCTTAACCCGGAAAGTTACTTGCTTAATATTTTGCCTGATATAATAAACAAGGATGATAAATGTATTGTGTTATATATCCTCACGATAAGCAGAATTCTAATAGCGAAAAAATGGAAATCAGATTTACTACCTAAAAAAGAAGAAATAATGGAAAAAATATTCGAAATAGCAGAAATGGACAGATTAAATATGATATTAGCAGAAAGAGACGATAATGTTTATAACAAAAGATGGTTTAAAGTGTATAAATGGTTTGAAAAAAATGTA